ACTGGAACGTTCAGCAATGCGTTCGTTTCTGTTCCTTTGGGTTTCATTCATCTGATGTTCGTACTTCATGAAGGTCGTTAAAGATACTGTGTACTGTAGGTTTTGTTCTGCCCCGTTAGTGACCAGGGACGATGTCCGCCAGGTTAATGTTGCAGTGCATTTACAAAAAACTTATAGAGAGGCCAGATGCTGCCGTGAAAGAGCGAAAACACAAAGATAACACAAAGCTGCACTCATTTGATCTTTGTGCTTCGCTCATCTGCATATTCACTGGATCGAATTTGGAAAATCAACAGCTTCCTCCTCTTTAATTACTGTGAAGATGGCGAATGTTGTATGTGAAGCATCACAAGGCTACAGACTGAAAAACAAAGTGTCTGCCTGGTGTTTCCACCAGAGAACCAGATTGTGCTGGTTTCACCTTCTCTCGGATGTGTTTCTCATGCTGACAGTAAGACACAGTGATGCAGGCAGAGCCAGCTGAAAGCACTCAGTCCAGACACAGATCCAATAGAATTGTAATGAGAAAACTCCCTGATGTTTGTCAGACAGATTGCAGTTGTCTGTGTATCAATCTTGCAAGAAAGTCTCTGCAACTCTGTGGATAAGAAAATAGATCCATCGATTAATGTTGACATGGCGAGAGGACAAGTCTGTGTACGCAACTACTATTTTTATTTTCTGCTTAGCTTCTCATTCTAAATTCCAGGGAGCAGCACTTTATGTATAGTACATCAAAGATGGCCGTAGGTCCACCCAGGGGAGGATTGCACAACACCACTCTCCTATGACATTTGCCACATCTTCGTCATCTTAATCCCCTCCCCGCTGAATAAGGTTCGGAAGATGCCCCCTCACCATAGCAGCTCCTGATTAACTGGACTAAGATGTAATCCCATTCCACCGACAGAAATAAACATGTTTATTCTCCTAACCCTATTTGCAGTGCCAGATTCCGGGGGACGGATGTGAAATGACTTTTCTGAATGGGTGCACAGGCAGGCAGAGCAGGGCAGGACGTAGCAAAGAGGCTTGATGCACAGAGGCAAGAATGGAGGAGTGAAACGGACAACCTTAGCCACAGGGGTAAACACTGCTGTGGTTGGACATGAAGTCCAGTTCTTGTCTCTTTTTCTAAATCTACATGTATATGCACATAGTACATGCTTCTGTCGCGTTTGTTTGTGCCTGTATGAAGCCACAAGGCCATGTCAGCTTTTTATAGCCCTCTTACACTGACATGAAAAGAACATAAAGCTTCATGCAAACTTTATGTTGCTTTCAGACTCAAAGTAACACAACATGCTGGTGGTCGGGTAGTCAGTGTGCATCAGATGTAACTATAACACGATTGGTTCGATTCCACTGGGACTTGTGTTGCATGTCATACCCTTCTCTCAGAAAAAAAGATTTTCTCATCTCAATCATGACCTTCAGGATTCCCAGAGGGATTTCTATCATCCACCTGCTGACTCCGACACCTCCAGCATCCAGACTCCAGGGGATCCTCTCTTCTGTCTTCACAGAGGTTAAAGCAGAAAAAAAAAGAAGATGCTTCTCATCATCGCCGTCTATAGTCATCAAGATTTCCCTCTGTGACCGCTTCAATAAATCTCGTCACACACTTCCCACTATTCTCTCTAGCTTTTGTTCCTAAACATAACCAAACTGTGACCATTCGGCAACCTCAACTGCGTGTCCATTATTGTTACCATGACAACAATGGTCCGCTAGACCTGCCCCTAGTTCATTTGTATGCGAGGGACATGCAACCTACGTGGTGATTTAGGAATGGACGACTTGTTGTTTGGCACCTCAGCTGTGCCACGGTGGTCTCATTGTTTGACACAATGCTAAAACAGCCTTAAAGGGCAAGAATACTTTTATCAGACAGCAAGTAAGAAGGTTTCCTAGAAGAGACTGTCTGTACCCATTTTTAAACAAAATCTCCCCACCTCTCTGTGAAGGCCATCTTTTCATCACAATCATCATATAACCACATATGACCCTATTCTTCTGAGGTATAATTCAGCCCTCAGTAAATATGATTAACACTAAACGAAATGTATCACCATTAAACCGTCCACTCATCTGTATCAGCTGTTATGAGTTCTTGTTGTCTCCGTCTGAGCCGAGGACACGAGACATCAGGAGGAAGGCTACTACAGTGATTTGAATCTGTATTTGCATTTGAGATTATTTGGGTTATTTGTCAGTGCATATGAACTAATGCTGATGTGCATTCATGTGTGAAGGCCTCGGTTAAATCCACAAATCCACAATAACTGATGATGCAATGAATCACAAAGAGGGTATGTGTTGAACTTACTCATGATGCAACTCTCCTAAAGACTCTTGTCTTCTTGCAGGTAGAAGAGTTGTGTCAGGGGAAAAACTTGCTGGCATCAACACAACCCGTCTTATCCACCAAGCTTTTAATTTCAAGCTACACTTGCAAATGGTGTTCAAAACAATGCATGCAGGGAGAAACAATGCTCCTTAAAAGATTATGTTGTAGAATTTGACAGCAGCTTAAATAAAATTTCACACCCACTATAGACCCTGATTAGAATTTGCTCAAACTATTAGCCGGCTTTATGTGATCGCGTGTGCAGAGCTTTGCAGGAATCTGTGCAGTTTGTTGCTGTGGCACATTAACTTCAGTAAGTCAGAGCGTCTTCCAAAGAGAAGCTCATACAGAGAGAAACACTATAAACTGGTGGGTTTTCAAAAAGCTAATCGTCTTCTCATGTGTTATAAATGTTTAAATAGCTGACCTATATTCTCCGTCTTCGAGGGGTTTGTGGAGCACTGGAACAGAAACACAGAAACCGTGACACGGCGGAGTTGTGATTTCTCTCAAACGTTGCATCTTAAATTGAAAGAGAATGTGCTGCTTTGTCCTGTCCATGGGGACAGTTTTGTTTGTAGCACGGAGATTAAAACAAAACCAGTTTTAATTAGATCCGATCTAAAAAAAACAAACAGGGCTTTTTAGCCGAATGTGGCAATTTTAGAGATGGAGGATCAGAGAGCTCCGTCCTTCTGGAGCATTTTCTCCAGTAAGAGAGAATCATCATGGAGGTAAGAGAAGGGAAAAACAACAATGAGCAGATGCTTCAGAAAGATTAAATAAACGTACAGTAGTGGAGTAGATAATACAATATGTCCCTCAGGATTGTGGTAAAGTATCTTGAATAAATACTCGCTAACCTCTATCATTGTCGTCTTTGAGGATAAAGGTATTTCAAAGTATTATATTGCAACCACAGTGCAGTACAGGGCTGAATACAATGTTTTGGCTGTTCAAGCAAAATCCGATCCGACCTTGGGTGTTTAGTTTTCTCCCCAAAATTCCGACAGACGTATTAGTTGTTGCAGCTTCAGTGGATGTGACTCAGAATTCATCTCTCTCAGTGACACAAGTCAGTGAATCACAATTTCAGGCAAAGAGTTTTCCCATTGATGCTCGAGCTGCTCAAGTCACAAATCCGACTGATGCTGGGTTTTAAGCTGTAGCTGCTCTCAGACATGCACTGAAGTCTTGATACTTTCTGAAGTGGCTGCATGGAAGGAGGCAAATGTTCGACTCAGATGCTCCGGACCCCCCCGTCTCAGGTAAAATACAATACATGTACAAGATGCTGACGAAGATGTTAACTTGGAAAGACAATGAGATTCAAGAGCTTTTGACGATAAAGGCAGTGTCGACAAAAAACTGATGATGTCTGCATCAGAATTTACGTCACGTCCTGTCTCCTGCTGCTCTACCCAGCTGCCACCCTTCACCTGAATGTCCCAGACATTTTCCTGTGGTTGTGAACGTGTCTGACCCGAACAATCTCCTGCGGTGTTCCTCATACGAGAGACACAAACTACAAAATGTCTGGAACTAAGTATCCCGGCATTTTCCAGAGTTCGTGTCTGAAACGGCTTTGGTGTACACATGGATGTATGCAGCAATGACAAACGACATGAAACATCCTTCAAAACTTGTATTCCACCTCTCAGATAATTGGGATCTTACAGCAAGAGATTCGAGAGGTGAGGATTCTTTAAGGTACATGAATCCAAGTGAAACTGAGAGATACCGATGAGAAAATGAACTTTTGGAATTGCGCTGGTTTTATTCATCCGAGTCAGCCTGGATAAAATCAGTGTGGGAAAAAGAGGAAGAAACGGATAAAACAGATAAAGTATTCAGCTCTGGAACAAAGTGAGCATCTGCAGGCAGCTCCGCCGCTCGCCGCCTTCTATGCGGCTTTGAAAGATGGATCCCAGGAGACCGTGCGCGAATGAAACTCGGGGAGATGCTGGAGGGTTGGCATAGTTATGGCTGCTGCTGGGCTTGTTGATACGCCGTTAAAACATGGCAGGCCTATTTCAAGCTCTGACACATGAGGTAATATCTCCACACCTGTAGGTCGGCTGTCAGCACCACTAAAGGATCTGCAGCACCAGAGCCAGAAAGGTGCAACTTGCAAGAGATTTCTTGATACTGTTGAGCAGGTGTTGCTAAAGTGGGAGGTTGGATGTCTCGAGGGGAGCTTGAGGCTTTCAGGTGGTCCGCAAGTGAATCAAGAGAAAAAAACTACTGCTGTGATTAAAGATGTCAACTTTTGAACAGTTCCAATGTTGTGAGGCTGATTACAGGAATGGATTCTGCAGACGTGGGAAAACATGAGAAGTATGCGGCAGAACAACATTTACAGCTCTGCATGCAGATCAGCCTTTAACCTTATCAGCACACGTTTGACTGGCAAAACACAAAATCCACACAAAGGACCACACAGAACGAACAGGAGAGACAGGTTCAGGTCAAACAACACAACATGTGGACATTGTGCATTGAAATGAGCCAAGTCAGAGATTAATGATCTGGGTGAGGAATGCAGTTGTACCACTGTCTCATACCAACCGCACCTGCATGGGTAAACGGACAGGAAACACACTGTGGACTGGAAAAGCATTTTTATTTTCCAACCCCACGACAAACCTACCTCTCATTGGGTTCTGGATCCACAAGATGCCCCCGATCAGGTGAGGGGACTGGCCGAGCATCCCTGGTCGCTTTTATCTCACCTCTAATGTGAGTAAAGTAACAGCTTAGTGCCAATCACAGAGAGACTTGTCCCCTGATCCACATGTCACACACCACCTGATGCCAGATGAGCACAGCCTGGGTGAAAAACACTGTTGCACCACAGCACGGAGCAGCTCTGTGGTTCTTATATCCAGAGGACGATAGGAGGAAAGAGAACAAGCTGCAGCCGGTGCACCAACACCGGGGATATTCACGCACAAAAAGACCGGGACGCTCCTCGGGGTTTGCAGACCTGTTACCCGGAGCAGGCGGCGCGCACACACACACACACACACACGCGTGGATCCACACGGAGGCTGCGCGTAATGGTCATGCATCAGCAGAGATCAGCAGCGGTTCAATGGAGGAGTGATAACAGAGGATGACCAGGACAGTGAGGCTGATGCAGACACAACACAGGCTGCGACCGACTGTCACGTTTGACCCAACACAACAAACACACACACACAGACACACACACAGCTCCAGTCCTCGTAACATCTTTGCGTTAGGGAGAAATGAAAAGCGCAAATGTCCTGATGGCTGACGCGTCTTACCTTCAACAGCCATCGCGCTACTCCGCAGATCTGTGCATCACTGGTGAAATGTAAAACTCGTCGCTCCCCCCGCTCATGGTACCTTGTTTGGCGTGTTCTCATCACTTTGCTGCGGGCGAGCCGGAGCTCACAGCTGCTGCCGCCGCCCCCCAGAGGATGCTGGGAAGTGTAGTGCCGCGCGCTCCATGGGTGGTGGTCTTTGAAGTCCGCGACAGCCACTTTCTGGCGCCAAATGAGACTCGGAGCCTCCTGAGGCGATGTTTGTGTTTCCTCTCTGGACCCACTCACAACCTTCATTTCTCAGGTTGGATGAAGGAACAAGTTGTCTCCGTGTCGCGCTGAACTGTATCGCACGTCTTTGTCGGCTGTCAGATCCATTCACATTCATTTACATCTGTACGCGGAAGAAATAAGACAACAACCCCCGAAAGTAAAGTCCGGAAACAAGTCTGACTGAGTCAAAAACTCAAGTATAAGTATGAATAATTGTGATTAAACACAGGTTTATGTGACTATTTCCTGAACAGGCCCATTGACTTTGCTGGTGACCCCCCCCCCAGTTACCTGGTAACTTATCATGGTGATTAGAGTAAAGTAATTACATGAGGCCAGCCCATAAACCTATTTAAACCCTCAAACTGTACATATTAAATTTGGTTCCCCTCTGATTCCCATCTTTATGCTAGGCTAAGCAAATTATTAGCTAGCTATTTGGCATCGCTTGACAAGAAAGCAAATAAGTATCTTGCCCATTAACTATGTGTAAACTCTGTGTTTGCCCAAGAGAACAGGTACAGACACCAAAAGTACCTTCACCAGATAATAATCTGGACATGGTTAGAAAACAGCCATTGTGTGACCTCAGTAGAACTGGTTTGATTATATTTACAGGCATTGTTTGTTATTCTCCACCATGCAACACACGGCTTCCACACTGTATTTTTGTGACATGCATAATTTATTTGTGCATTTGAATTGGGCTCTAAAAATTCCCCCACATCCATTGATTCAGTTTTGTGGAACGTTATTTTTTGCTCTCAACTCCTGAGAGCAGTGATAAACAGAAGCTTATACTTTGACAGTGAGTGTGTCTAAATGTGCCGACCATAATTACCAGGTCTTTGAACTGCCAGCGATAGAAAAGACTGTAAATCCTCTTTGTTAAGCTAATTAAACAGAACAATTCCAACATGACACACCTACTGTCTTACAGTAGCTTATGCAGTGTGTCATCTGTTATCCAAGATGCTAATTGAGCATGCAACATGTTCTCCTGTAGGCAGAGGTTGTTTATTCTGTTTTGTTATTACCTGTCTTTGTATGATGTTGTAGATCGAGCGTAGATACAAATCCACCAACTTGTTGTTGTTACAGTGAATCTACAAATTCAACCAGTGTCTCTCTGTCTTTCTGTGTGTATCTGAAACCTAACAAACCCTTCATCTTATCAGCTTCACACTGGAGACAGCTATTGTAAATTACCTGAGGAAGTGCAGTGCCGAGTTCGGTCCAATTCGGACATGCGATTCGTTTAATGTTAACAAAAATATAAATATTCTATATTTAAAAAAAACACGTACCAGTGCTCTGTAGCAGTCAGTGGGGGCGGGGTGGTGTGTCTTCTATGTCTTTGGATGAACTACACCAGAGGTCATCAAGCAGCCATTTCCATTTTGTGGAAAATTCCATTGCAGATAAACCAGGTAGGATAAATGCAAAGTTTTCAAACTTCACTCTGCACCAAAGGCAGTTTATAAAAAGCTCTGCGCACAAGGTTCACCTCACAAACATTAAAAAAGTGACGGTATAATATAGAACTATTTGAGGAGGATTCACTGATGACAGGGCATAATTCTGAAGACTGCAGAGCATTAACACAGGCTAAGTAAATCATTCCAAACAGACAGGTTTACAACCACCACTGCACTCGCAAGTTAAAATGGAATTGGATACAAGGGTGAAGCTGCGGGTCCCTTCAGGCTGCAGTATCTCCATAGGACAGGTAGTATAGTTACTGCAAGTAGGAATCAGAATCTGTGCACCCCATACATCTGCCTCATGTGTCACTGTATTCAAGCGTCATTACTGATGGATGAAGATAATAATGTACATGAGGAAGTCTGCCTCTCTTTCAGCACATTTCTTGCGTGGTTACATGTGTCGGCTCATGTAGGCGTCACGGTTGACATGTCAGAGGGTTTTTCTGTCTTCTTCCTGCTCTCCCCTGTTTGTAAAGATCTGCTCAGCCTGAGAGTCTTTGTGTGAGTAGATAACATACAGTAAATACAGGTGCATGCGTGTGTGTGGTTGGTCATTGTCTTTCTGAAAAGGAATAAAATTATGAGTTGCAGCACATAGACATTGATTTGTCAAGAAAATTCCAAACAATATCAGAAAAGAAAGTACTTTTTTTCCTAGTTTGCCCTTTACATTAATTATAACAGCCTCAGTCTAACAGGCTATGAGATTTAAAAGTGCTGCGCTCTGCTCTGTTCCTCTGCATTGTGCCTGCTACAGTCTAATGAATGCTGAGCTGAGGGAATTCAGGCGATGAAACCCAATCCGTGTCTGAATTACTGCGCCACAGTAAACTGCAAAGCCGCTGGTTGTTTGGCGTATTAACACGTACTTAAATATCTCATTAACACGAGCCGTACAGAAAGTGCAAAAGAGACACGTATGAGAATCTGCACCCTGACCTGAATGGAATCACAAGAAGCCAAGAAACCAGGACTTCATCTCTCCAGAGCTCGTTAATCAAAACTTCAAAGTCTCTGCAGATTTCTCGAAACACGCCAAGGACAGTTCACACACCCAATCTTCAAGTATCTACAAAAAAAGCAGCAAAAAATAATCCACTCATCCACCAAGCTTTGTTGTGTCTGTATCCCTGTGACATTGTTCTGCAGGTGTCCACTGAGCAGAACTGTACTCTTAATCCTCCTCTTAGCCTCTGTCTGATAATTACTGCAAATTAGCTGTAAGAGGATTTCCAGCACAACTCTGACCCAAGTGTTAACATCACACCAGCAGGGTAATGATCACCCCATCATCCTGGCCTTGCCACAGCATCTCCCCTTCGAACGCCACCTTCCCGTGTTTCCTGGCTCTCATCAGGATCCCCACCACCTTGTCGGAGATCCTCACGTATCTGTCAAACAGCTCTCCGAACGTGATGCGTGTCTTTCCATCCAGGTCCGGGTCGGCCATCGTCCTGATCACGTAACACATGTCAGCGATCTCCCGGTGAATGTGCTGCTCGGCTCGTTTGGCTCGCTCCGCTGTTTTGGTTCCTTCCTTGGGGCGTCCGTAACCCTCCTCGCCCCTCTGGAGGCGGAGAGACATGGAGTAATCGTGGTCAAAGTACTCGCTGAAGGGGTTTAGTCTCTGGTTAACTGTGTGCTCTGAGGCCCAGTTCTGCCAGCGGCTCTTGAGGTTTCCCACAGCGCTGTATTTCTTGGAGAGAGCATTGATCTTGTTGGCGTCTTCAGCTTCATTTTTGTACCTGGAAGGGATGTTGGATTACAAATGAATACAATAACACAACTGGAGCAAGGAGCAAGAGAGGTTAGGACATATACCATTAAGGGAGTAGACACTAATGCATCTGACCTATAAGAATTCGCTAGATGGAAGTAAGCCTTTCACTACTCACGTTGGGACTGCAGGCCTTTTAATCTTCACCACTGAGTCTTCATCACCGTCTTTTTGCTCTGATTCTTTCAAAATGTTTTCCGTGTGTGTTTGAGCATCATCTACTTCCACTCTCTCCTTCTCTTCCTCAGGATGTCCACTCTCCTCTCCGTCTAATCTACCGGTCTGTGACTTTCCTGCTCTTGCACCTTCTTTTCCGAACTTCTGCTGTTTCTCCACCTTCTTCCAGCTTTTGGTCAGCGATGACACCATGTTGGAGCACTTCCTGCGGAGCGTGGGTGAGCTTTTCTTTGTCAGCAGCCTGTCGATCTCCTCGGCCGACGGCAGAGCCTCTTTCTTGATCTTCTCGGTCAGGAGCCCGACGCCCGCACTTTTCTCCAGAACGCTGCTGGTCACCGTCTTCACCACCTGCTTCGTCTTGATTGCAGAAGAAACCGGTGGATCCTCGATCTTCTTTTGAGGAGCTGATGTCTTTTGAGCCTCTCCAGAAGTAGATTCAATCACTTGAGACTCCTCCGTCAACTGTATTTGAGCAGCAGGAGGTTTCTTGGGGACCCACGTCTTTCTGGGTTCCTCAGTCGGTCCCCCCAGTGTGGACGGAGCCCAACCACTGGGTTCACTCGCTTGCTTTTCCTCATTGTCCGTCACCCACTGCTGCCAGCTGCTCGTCAGGCTGCACACCAAGCTAATGGTGCGGAGCTTCTTGATGTTCTTGTTGGGTTTCCTCTGCGACGCTTGGCTGCTCTGTTTGTCCGACATATTCATCTGTATTAACGTGTCAGGTGAGGCAGAATAATTGCCTCTAAGTGAGCCGTCAGATTTGCTACAGTAAATTCATCTCCTCTCCGCTATAACTTTTCTCCCTCAGCTGCTTTCTGCCCTCACGCTTGCAGCCACAGCTCTAAAGTGGGGAAAGCAAACCCTAACTCGACGATGGAAAGTATTTGAGTCATCTCAGGCTACGGACCCGATCATCTTTCCCTGACACTGGTCACCCCAACGCACTCATGTTTCATCATAGACTGTGGAGCTTGTTACTGGAGGTAAAAGAACAGTTGACTCTAAGATCCGCAGTTGCACAAATACATGCAGAGACCGTCAAAGACATACCATTTGATATATCCCTTATATAAATTAATTAAGGTTATTGATAGATTTGATGACCTCGTGCACTGGGACAATTAAATAAACGTGCTCACATACCTTTCATGGCAATGTCCCTCCCAGTGGTGGACAATGTAATAAAATACAATAGTTAACTATAAATAAAACATTTAATAGTATGTTCTTCCTCTTCCGATCATCCCTCATGTAACATGGTGAACCTTCAAGTCCTAACCTGAAGTGGAAAACCCAATTCAGAATCTGCTGGTGTGTGTGTGCAGAGTGTCAAACTTAACAAAGCTTGAAGGAGCCACAGAGGGTAACTCCACACTTAATCCCAGGTGAGAAAAGAACCAGGGAACTTCTGACCAGCAGAGAATGTGAAACCTGGAGGAGACGAGGATCTCATCTGACGTCCCAGGAGGTTTTGTTTTCCAGTGTCGTGAGGTAACAGTCTAATCTTTCACTGAAGAGAGAGCACAAGTGTTCAGTGCAGTTTTAAGAGCTGAGTTTTATGTGAACATGCAGAATGTCATTTTGTGTGTGTTGTGATTTTGAATAACCATGTTTGCAGACGGGGG